GCCTCCCAGAGTACTAGAATTATAGGCGTGAGCCACCGCACTCGGCCTCAGCGTTTATTTTAAAACCAACATATATGAAATCATCTGAGTAATATATTGAGTGTTTTCAAGGATTTATGCTAATTTCTTTATAAATCCAAGTTTTAAATTACTTTCATTTGAAAAATGGTGGTATGTTTCAGAGTTTTAAAAATTAGACCTTCATGTTACTTACAGAATTAGGCTTCTTTCTTTTCTCACTTTCTAAAAACAAGAGTAGCTTGTGATATTATCTCTGACTTCCTGACATTAAAGCATACTTCATTCTCTGAGCTGACAGGCTACTAGCATCAGTATAGGATGTAGCAGGCAAATAACAAATATGTGTTCACTGATGGATACAAAGAGCCCTATGAAGTATATTTAATTAGTCTTCAGTTATAAATGCAGAAATTAAATGTTCCAAAGGCTACAATTTGGATAGAAGTGACAGCCAGGATTCTTTCAACTTTTAAGCCCCACATTAGTTCCTCCAACCAGAATTATCTCTTTTTATTTTGCACTCCCTTTGCTTTACATGACTTTTCAATCTGTTTTATTGTTTGTAACGTGTCCATAATTTACTATTTCCTTTAGGATCTCAAGGGTATGGACTGTCATATTCTTCTTTATATTATCTACTTCTTAAACTAGGGTTTGTTTGTTTGTTTTGAGACAGAGTCTCACTATGTTGCCCTGGGTACAGTGCCGTGGTGTCACAGTTCACAGCACCCTCAGACTCTTGGGCTTAAGCAATTCTCTTGCCTTAGCCTTCCAAGTAGCTTGGGCTGGGTTCGAACCTGCCAGCCCCGATGTATGTGGCCGGTGCCATACCCACTGAGCTACCCTTAGACTAAGTTTTTAATAAATATCCACTTACCTGAACTGAAATTAGTAAATATTATCATAAATATCCTACCACTTTCCAATTCTCAAACTTCCTACAAATTTTTTTCTTTTCTGGTAAAAATTTTAGTTTGAATTTGACAAAATACCAACATATATGTTTAAAATACATCTTTTTTATTTTCTTTTGCTAAGTACCTGATGACTAGCATGTTTATAGTAAATTATTAAATTTAGGTTATCATAATTTATGGAAAGGTCAGAGAAATAAATGATATATTGTTAATAAGGCAAAAATCTTTGTATCTCAAGGTATCAACTGGTTTAAATGCAGGAAAAGCTCAACTAGCATCACCTATACTGAGTAACAATCTCAAAAAGATGAAAGAGTCCACATTTTCTCACCAATAAATCCTGGTAAATTTTCTGGTTATCTGATAGCTGATAAGGAAAGGGTTGCTCAATTTTTGGTTCCTCTGACGTTTCAGTGTTGTTACTGGCACCCTCTGTTGGTCCGGTCTGTAAGCATGGGCTTACATTCTCTGCTGGAAGGGCACTTGGAAAGAACACTGGTATATCAGCTTCTTTATTGAGACCTTGAGAAGAGCTGTTAGAAAGGATATATAATGGATGTGTTAATGATCAAGGAACCTTTAACATATACTACAGGAGAACCTTAGTAAGTTTACCACCCCAGGAACTGTAACAAACTGGTCAACACATGGAGGTAGGTCAGATGTTTGTGACTTGGGGACTGCCTATACTACATTTCAAACATAGTAGGACCTCCATAGTTGACCCCCTCCCTACACTGACCATCTCCTTAAGTGAACCTAACCTGCACACCCGGACATGCACCACATGTACATGTTAGCGCAGGAGCCCTAGCTCCTTATGGTGACCTCCTCTGTATGTTGAGTAGTTTGTTATAATCCCTGGGGTGGTCAACTTATAAATGTTCTACTGTATAATTCTTACCAAACAATTCTATGAGATAGATATTATATATTAGCTCCATTTGATAGGTAAAATATTGAGGTACAGAGAGGTTATAATTACCTACATTTATAGACACAGTACCATTTTTCTAACATATCTTCTTTAAAACTTAGGTTATTTCAAATATTTCTACATTGCTTAATTTTAATTTGATATCATGAGTACCAAGCACACACTTGGTACATAAGCTTAATAAATAATAGCTTTCAAAATATCAGTCAAGAAGATAATTCTAAGAAAAAAATTGATAAATTTGACTACATAAAATAAAAAATTTTACATAGCAAAAACCAATATAAACAAGTCAAAAGACAACAGACAAACTGGGAGAAAATATTCACAACATATACCACAAAGAGCTAGCTAGCATCTCTAGTGTACAAAGAAACTTAAAAATTGAAGGCAAAGGACCTAAAAGTCTATAGAAAAATGGCAAAAGACATAAGTAGGCATCTCACAGATATCAACATGACCTTTAACATGAAAAAATGTTCAAACTCACACATAATTTAAAAAAAACCCTAAAACAATATTGAGATGTCATTTAGTCACCTCTCAGATGGGTAAAAAATTTTTCAAAAAACATGTTATCATATTCTGTCAGCATGGCCATGAGAAAACAAGTCCTTACATACATTTGCTGCTGAGAATGCAAACTGTTACAGCCCTTCTGGAAGGAAATTTGGCAATACTTAAAACAATTGCATATGTATTTAACTCTACATGCAGGAATCCCACTTCTAAACAATTCAAATATACACATGCTCAAAGTAATTCACTGTACCATTGTTTGTAATTGCAGAATACTGAAAACGATCCAAATGCCTATAAATAGGCAAGTAGTTTATTAAACTATGATACATTCACACAATAGAGTACTACTGCAGCTATTACAGAAGCAGGAAGATCTTCAAGAACTGACTGGAGTAATTTCTAAGACATATTGTTAGGTGAAAAGAGCAAAGTTTGAAACAGAACTTATGGTATTCTTTCCTATACTTCATGTAAGAAAGTCTCCCTAAGAAAATAAAGACATACATGTTTCTTTGTGAAAAAGAAACACAGGAAGAAAGGATAAGCCAGAAACTAAAATGACTGGTTACCTAAAGAGGAAGGGTGGGAAAGGATAAGGAAGAAAGGAGATATGGAAATAGGGGAGCAGGGATAAGAAGAGAGCAACCTTTTTCTTAGTATATACTTTACACAGCATTGTCTCTTAGAATGCATAGTAATGTTTCACACCCAACCCCCCAAAATGGAACACAAACAGTAACAAATGAACCTAATGGCTTTATAAACAACATAACCACACTGATGGAAACAGGGAAGAAAAGGACTAACCTAATAACTCTGAAAAACAATATTTTGGCTGGATCCTGTAAGGCTAAAGTTAAAAGAACTGCACATAAATATTATACTGTAGCTGATCTGTATTAACATTCTTAGCAATTTTGAAACTATAGTACTTTATGTGTATATTAGACTGAATAAACTGAATAAATGGTAAGTATAGTGAACACAATGAGAACCAGGTTTCTCACGGTGGGAGAACAAAATTTTAAATTAAGAAAAGAGGAGGCCAGGCACAGGGGCTCATGCCTGTAATCCTTACACTCTGGGAGACCGAGATGGGTAGATTGCCTGAGCTCACAGGTTCGAGACCAGCCTCAGCAAGAGCAAGACTCTGTCTCTAAAAAATAGTTGGACGTTGTTTGTAGGTGCCTACAGTCCTAGCTACTCAGAAGGCTGAGCAAGAGAATGCTTGAGCCCAAGAGTTTGAAGCTGTAAGCTGTGATACCATGGCACTCTACTGAGGGTGGCAAAATGAGACTCTGTCTCAAAAAAAAACAAACCCCCCAAACAGTAAAGAGGGTATTGGATTAGAATTGAAGAGTCAGTATATAGTCAAGGATTAGGATTTTTATATAGAGATAGATACATCTAAAAATAAGTATAGATTTATAAATATGCATGGGTTAGCAGGCATATATTTATGTATGTGTATTTGTGTAATATATAATCTATCTGCTAAAAGGGCCTAGAAGCACAGAAATAACAGTTTAACAAAGAGCATACCTAGCTGGTTACTTAAATACCATACTCTCATACCAGCACTCTTGATTCTGTATTTATTTCCATGCTGGAGCAGAGAAAATACAAATAAACCCGGAACATATTGTGGCATCAGAAAATAAGAATATGTACAAAAATGAATGAGGGCAAGGCGGTGCCTGTGACTCAAGGAGTAGGGTGCCGGCCCCATATACCAGGGGTGCTTGGTGGGTTCGAGCCTGGGCCCAGCCAAAACTGCAAAAAAAAAAGGGGACTTGTGCAAAATAAACAGAAGCCAATTAAAAGAGCTTCTGATGGCCTAAACTGGAACAAACTGAACAATAAAATGATAGCATTAGATTATAACATAGAATATATGAAACAGCCAAGAATCCTTACTGGCATAAATGAATAAGGAGTGGAAAAGAAGGAACAGCTTCTTTCCTTACAGAAGAATTCAATTTATAAATGTAGAAGGAATGAGGAAAGTACAAAATCATCATTAGGCAAATACTACAGTACTAACTGCTGTAGGCAAGATCCGTAGATGGGTCCTAAAATAAATGGAAGAAAAGGAAGAAAGCTTGAGAAGAGGGTATCTGTAGTTTTGAAATATCTTCTTCAAAGGGTTTATTTACTAATAATAAGTAAATAATAATAAAATTATTAAATAATAATTCTTTAGTAAATTTATTAAATAAAATGGAGATTATAATAATCACCTTCTGGTCTCTCGGAAACAGATAAACTGATCTTAAAAATCAGGAAGGAGCTCTCCAAGTCACCCAGTCCATCTCCTTCCTAGAGAAGAGACTGTATTCAAATCAGTAAAGATAGAAGTGAATTTATTCTAATCCCAAAAGAATGTCAGTGAAATTACATTACATAATTTCCTTAAGTATCCAAATTTGGTACAGTGAAATAGGTTATCAAGAATTAAATCTTATACATAGAGAAAAAAGTCTTAAAAAAAAAAAAAACCCTGGCTA